GATCTCAGCCTCCTCAGGCCTCAGGTGACTGTGGCCTCACGAGAGGCCCTGAGTCAGAGCCGCCCCACCACCCGCTCCAACTCCCGGCCCACAGAACCTGCGCGGCAACACGTGTCTGTTGTTTTGAGTCACTGCGTTTGAGGTGACTTGTTACACAGCAATAGATAACTAACACAAACACGCAAGAAGGGAATAGGCATGTTTGTTTTCTCACATCTTCCACAGCATTGGCTATTCCTAGTTTTACATCTCCCACATTGAATAGGGAGCAAAGACTACCTCATTGTCCCACATCTATCTAACTTCCAGGGAAGCTGAGCTCTTTCTTGGTGGCTCTTTTCCTTTCTCTTCCATCATCTCTTTCCTTTTCAAGTCCTTTGCCCATTTTTCTATGGAAGGACTTGCCCTTCTCTATTGCCCTATCACGCTCATTGCAAAGTGTGTGTTTGCCCTCTCACTGATATTTACATCTCAAAGACCCCCTATTTGTCATACTTCCCTACTCACTTTTGCTTGAGCTACTTCAGATTTAGGAGTTGTTATGTTTTTATACACTTATATACATTAGTCTTTTCCTTTATGTATTCTATCTTTGTTCGCATGCTCGTGAAGATGGGACCACTGCTCTCGGCAGACACCTTGATCCCTACTTTCTTCTGGATATTTTATGGCTCCTGTTTAAGTTTAAATCTTTAATTTAGCTGAAACTGGTGGCTTGTATAAAGGAATAATCCAACTTTATTTATCCTTTTGCAAATGAATAGAGGGATGGTTAACTCTAAAAATAAAACAAAAGAAAAAATCTTATCCAAGTAAAAACAATATAACAAAATGCAATATTGTATTTAAATTTGTTCATTATTAATATCATTACCATCTACAAATTATCAATTAGCCATAATTGATATGCCAGAATCTACTGATAGGCAGAATCTGTGCCAAATACTTAAAGTGCGAGCATCAATAGCTCCATTTTACAGACAAAGAATGCAAAACTTGGAAAGGTTCAAGGACCTGCCTAAGGCCACACGGCAAATAAGTGGTGAAGCCAAGATGAGTTATTAGCATCCTAAAGCCGGAATTCTTTTCTTTTTTTAATGAATGGAATGAGTTCCATTTGTGATCCAGCTGCAAATAATTATCAAATCATCCTTCATTTTAGCCTTAACTAGATGGATATAGTTTTGGATATGACTAAATTTAGATCTAATCAAAATTTCTAAACCCCTAAAATAATGAAAAGCTTCATTAATAAAGAGTTCTGCTCTGTGAATATAGAATAATTGTAGTAAAGAAAAATCAGCGACTGTGTTTGGGAATGGAACATTAAAATTTTTAGAATCAAAATCCTCTTAAAAATGATTTGTATTTGAAACGCAAAAGTATGCATTACTTGCTAGCTATCAATAATAGTACTGTTGGGAATAATTAGAAAATTATGAATTGTGAGAAAAAGGAGAGCAGAGTAGAAGTGGGTTTTTAGGTACCTGAATTTGGGGAGAGAAAAGAAGAAAATACACTTAAACCTCAGCTCTGTTCTTCCAGTTCTGATGGTGTGAAGGGTGGTACTTATATAAGACAGAATTACGTTCTTGTGTGACAGGAGTCAGCTCTGCTCAGATATGTCTCGGGTGAAGTCCCCATGTGCAGGCACAGGCCAAAAAGCTGGAGGGATATTTTGGTACAGTCTCAAAATTCCACTTTTTATTTTTACCAAGATGTACAAGCTATGGTCTTTCTGTGACTCCCGTTCCACCAACCCAGAGCCTCGCCCTGGCTCAGGAATGCAGTGGAGTCAAACACGGCAGAGGGGAAGCTGGGGAGAATTTCAGAATGAAGTTGGATAAAGGTAATTTTTTAAATGCTTTGACATTTGATGGCTATGTCAAATTTCCTGCTTAGCAACAGAGCTAAAAGTGTTTTCCTAGTTGAGTTAGTGAATGGGGTCGAATTTTAGCCAGTGTGCCAAAAAATACGTACGTAGGGAAATGCTAATATGTTAATTTTAAATTTGAAATTGTATCAAACTCTCTAAATAGCTACAATGGTGCAGGTTGTCATGGAATAACAGCTCAACTATGTAATTCTAGAACACTAGAGACATCAAGGTACCACGTTTACTAGTCAGAGAGAAACCACATAGTACTTTGAACAGGAAAAGTTTAGTGTAAGCAGCTGGTGACAGATGACTAGAGTGGCAGGAAATGGGCCAGTAAGAGTTAGCGAGAACACCAAGGAACAAAGGACTAGCAGCTACAGGGAACAGACGCTCCTCCTGGGCCTGAGAGGCAACGCCCAGGGCAAAGGCCTGACCCAAGGCTGAGATCCAGACTCTAAGAGGCACAGCCCTGGCTCACCGGAAGTCAAAGAAGGCCCTGAGGCAGGGCCCTAAAAGGACTCACCACAAATGTGCCTTTGGAGCACCGGGGGAAGCCGTCCACAGCGAGGAACCTGGTCAGTGACACCACTAAAAAGCCACCCAAAGAGGAATATGCTCTAGGAAAGATTCACAAGAATGCGCCCTACTGGCAGTGCCCCGCTGTGCAGCCACCCAAGGCAGGGCCAAGCAATGAATGGCAGATCTGGAACCGAGGGAATAAACTGATAACTCACACGCTATGTACTTTAGATTGAATTGTGTCCCCAGAAAGGGATGTCGAAGTCCTAAGCCCTGGTACCTGTGAATATGACCTCATGTGGAAATAAGGTCTCTGTAGACGTAATCAAATTAACAATCGCTCCTTAGGGTGGGCCCTGATCCAACATGACTGGTGTCCCTATAAGAAGAGGGAAACACGGACACAGCCGTACCGAGAGGAGAACATCTGGCGAAGCCTCAGACTCAGAGGGAGACAGCCGTGTACAGATGGAGCCAGAGACTGCAGCGATGCTGCCACAAGCCAAGGAACGCCCGAGACTAGCAGAGAAGGAAGAGGCAAGGGCGCATCCTCCCCCGGGATCCAGATGGGGCAGAGCGCTGCCGACACCTTGATTCCAACCTCCCAGCCCCCAGCGCCGGGAGATAATAAAGTGCTGATGTTTCAAGCCACCCCATTTATTGTCACAGCAGGTGTGGGAAATAACACACTGTGTCTCCAGTCTCATTCATCTGACTTAGCATTTCTGAGACCATGATGGTGGCATTCTGAGGCGAACACTAACAGACATCATGTGATGAATCAAATTTTTGTCTTTCTGAAATACTGATGTTGATTAACCTTCCCTCTAGACAAGGAATCACAGAACAGGAAGGAAATCTTGAGAACTCAAGGCTAATCTCCTCATTTTATTGAAGTTTACTTTTTACATGAACACAATACTCATACAGAAGAGTGCATGAACCACAAGTGTACGATCCAACCCATCTCCACACAGTGAGCACCATCCAGCCAGCCCTGGGTCAAGAAGGGAGTAGTACGCACCCCTGAAGGGCTCCTCACGGCCCCGTGCAGTCACAGGGCCCCGTCAGCTGTAGCCACTGCCCTGACGGCCACGCAACCGGTCTGTCATTAGCCTGGCCCCAGACCCTAAATCCAGTGTGCATTCTCCTGCCTCTGAGGTCTCTGTTCATTATTACGTTTGTGAGATCTGCACACGTTGAGATGTTTATTGGCACTGCGATACCACCATGTGCCGAATCTGGCCAACCACTCGCTACTGCTTTTCTTAAAATAAAGTTTATTGAAACAGCCACACCATTCAATTACATATTGTCATTACATATTGCAACTAAGGCAGGGTAGAGAAGTCAGGATACAGATCATATGGCTCACAAAGCCCAGAATATTTAGTGTCTGGCACTTTGCAGTTTCCCCACTCTATTGGACAGTATTCCATTGAGTGTATACCCCATAATCTATGTGCCCATCTACTGCTGACGAGACCTAAGTAACCTCCCACTGAGGCAACTACAAATAGTGCTGTTATGCTGCTAACACTCAGCAAGTATCTTCTCTTCAAGATACGTAGTAGGGGAATCACTGGGCTATATAGACATGTTCAATTTTAGTAGAGACCATCAGTTTTCCAAGGTGACAATCTCCTAAGAAGACTAACACAGGTACTGAGGAGACATCTGTGCTCCCACGGTCAGTGCAGCAACACCCACAGTAGCCAAGATGTGGAAATAACCCAGGTGTGTCCACCGATGGAGGAATGGACAAAGAAGACATGATACAATGTTCCACTGTGTGTGTGCATATGGGAGATGTTGTCTAAGGGTACAAATCTGAAAACTAGTACGTCAACAAGTTCTGGAGCTCTAATGCACAGCATGGTGATTACAGTCAACAAAACTGTATTACAAACTTCAAAATTGCTAAGTGACTAGATCTTAATTATTCTCACCGCAAAAAAGGAATGGTGATTATGTGATACGATAGAGGTGTTAGCTAACGCTGTGCTGGTAATCACATTGCAATAAATGAATGTATCAAATCACATTCTATGTGCCTTCAACTTACACAACGTTATATGTCAATGATATCTCAATAAAACAAGTAAATTAAATTAAATTTTTTTAAAAAAGAAAGAAAAGGGGGCCAGTCCAGTGGCATAGCAGTTAAGTTCACATGCTTTGCTTTGGCGGCCCGGGGTTCACCGGTTCAGATCCCAGGCGTGGACCTACAAACGGCTTATCAAGGCAAGCTGTGGCAGGCATCTCACATATAAAGTAGAGGAAGATGGGCACGGATGTTAGCTCGGGGCTAATCTTCCTCAAAAAAAAAAAAAGGGAAAGAAAGAAAACTGATGTCCTGAAATGCTGGGTTGTATCATAATAATGAACGGAGAAAATTATTTTTGGCTTTGGAAAATTTGTGTTTTAAAGTAAAATAAAATCTCAAAGGAAAGTATTGACAAGTTAAATTCTAAACTTCTGGGCACAGAGTGAAATCATTTGTGCAGAAAAATGATTTCTCGCTCTCAACAATAGCATATTTTATAAGTATCTGGGAACCAAAAAATGTAGGAATAAAAGCTGGTGCTTATAAAGTCCTTACCTTAGAATAAATGCAGCCGTCAGTTCCAAACACCCACTTCTGAGCATCATTTCCTTTATCTCTGTAACAAAAAATGTAATTTAATGATTGACAACTTTTCTCTAGCCTGAAACATTGTGTAGGTTTCACATAAAATGATCATTTTCCACATAGCCTAGAAGGACGACTGCCCAGCCTCCACCAAGGATGCTACCATCATCACCGCTTCCTCAGTAGCGAAAGCCTTCCCTAAGACAACCAGTTTCTTTGGTACCCAAAGTGGTGTGGTGTGTGTGCGTGCTACCAACGGCAACGTGATTAAGAGTTTTAGAGAATAAATAGGATCAATAAGAATATTACAGAAATTTCTCTCCCCAGAAAGATCCTCTGCAAGACAGAAAGAAAGGGACTTAATTAAGTATAAGGATGAAGAGGATGGGATGGAAAAGATGCCATGGAAAAATTAGGAACCTCAGGCACCTGTTTCGAAAAGACCAGAGAATTTTATTAAGGAATATCAGATTTTCTGAGGTAAGTCTGAATAAGAAAGAAACACTAAAATGTGATGAAGCTAATCATGCCTAAATTAACTAATCATGTATTCATTAATATTTAGAAACCTTACAAAGGTAAGACAAAATGAATTAAATTAAGTGTAATGGGATGTTAAACACGACTTTCCCTACTGCCTCTGAGTTTTGACAGAAACATCGATGGTAGAGAAGAGGGGTCAGGTCATGCTCTATTCCCCAAGCAAGGCACTGCAGTCTGGGCAGAGCAGGAGGCAGCAGTCCAAACTGGTCCAGCACACGCTAGCCTTTCACCCACGTTCAGTTTGCATGAGAAAAGGAGAGGAGTTCTTGGGCATGCTGAAATGGGTGCTTGGCAATACTGTCAGTCTCCAGGCCCCGTCCTCAGAGATTGTGATTCTGAAGGTCTGGACCTCCAGAAATCTACCTTAACAGTTATTGCAAGTGATTCCACTTGTAAGAACTCTGGGGAATTTGGAATGTGTGTGGTCCATGGATCAGACTTTGGAAAACAGTGAACTAAAGTGATGAGAGCAGAGGAGAAAGGAAGGACCAGATACTTAAATATTCTAAAAGGAGGACTGATCTGATGATTGAACAAATGGGGTAGGGGTTAGAGAGAGCAGGCAAGAATAAGTCTCAGACGTCAAAAATGGGTAAAGAGGAACATGACACTATTAGCAGAAAATGAAATTAGGATGGAGGAAAGGGGAGCAGAGATGTGAGAAAATACAAAGGGTCCTAACACCTATGTAAAATTTTCTATGAAATGTCTTCCAAAGTATGACTGAACCCTAAGCTAAGAATCCCATTCTCAGGCTTTATACAGTGTAACTGCTGCTCGATGTAGCACTGGAGGGGTGGGGTGGTCTTTACAGAGATCTTTTTATTTTGTAATTAATAAAGGAAAACAGAAGCTTTTTAAAAATTTTGACTTGGGGTCCAGAACTAACATTTATGATTATTATAATAATAACATCCATTATCCACGGCGACACCACATAGACTGAGAATTTGAGGGAGCTGAGGGCCTATCCTGGTCTGGTCCCCACTTTACAGACGAACAAAGCAAAACAAGAGAGATGAAGTGAGCTGGTCAGAACCACAGAGCTACATGGTTTCCAGGTAGGTGCCAGAGCCCAGAGTGTCTGACTGTCAGCCCAACATCTTCTCAATTAGGTTGGAAAACTATAACACAAATTATTTTGTGTAACTTGAAGATTAAAAGTAGAATGAATATTTTAGTCTCACTGATTATAATTTGACACAGAACCTTAGTGACTTAAAACACTTTGATATGAACATAAATGATTTTTATTCCATTGTGTTAATATAATCACTAAATAGTTTCGTACTATTGCAAATTCTCCTGAGGTACTGAAAAAGCTCTTATGTCAGCTACTGAACGAAGAAATAACAAAAACAACATTGCTGGTCTTTAAGGCTGTCAGTCTCAAGCTTACAACTGCACTCCCTTTAAAAATAAAGAGCGAGCGATTGCTGTGATGCTGTGAGGGAAATGTGCTGGCTTGTGATAAAATTTAGATCATTTTAATGTGTAAGGGCTATAACTCACTGCAACTTCATTGCTTACAGGCAATTCCTCCTGTTGCATAAATTATTGTAAGCATATTTCTTCAAGATAAATAATACGGAAAATGAGAATTTTTCAAAGTGTATGACATCTATAGTCGGTAATTAACATACTGATGCCAGCCGTCAAACTCTGCAAAATTCAGAATTTTGTCTTTTAATTGGATTATAGTGTTGGCTTGAGGATGTGATTACACAAACGTAAATTATGTCAATTTCAGTTTTGATTTTCTGAATTTGTAGCATCTATTTCCAAGAATAATACAAGAGCTATCTCTCAAACTGGCAACTGTGTGAGGGCAGAGACCACACGAGCCCTTAAAGCTGCTCACAGTGCCTGGCAGATGATGGGAGATTAAAGATACCTTTGAATACACAAACACGTGAATAAAATGTCAAATATTACCACCTTAAAAACTAACAATACGAGGGCCGGCCCTGTGGCCTAGTGGTTAAGTTCAGCGCACTCTGCCCTGGCGGCCCAGGTTTGGTTCCCGGGCGTCAACCTACACCACTCGTCAGCCATGCTGTGGTAGTGACTCACACACAGAATAGAGGAAGATGGGCACAGATGTTAGCTCAGGGCCAGTCTTCCTCAAGCAAAAAGAGGAAGATTGGCAACAGATGTTAGCTCAGGGTGACTCTTCCTCAGCAAAAAAAAAAAAAAGAGGAAAAAAAATTAATAATAAGGCCACCATAAAAAATGTCTTAAATTTAATATATGGCAGTTTAGGGGATTTAAAAGATCTTCTTAGTGAGTGGCTAAAGAAAATAAATTACACCTTGGTAAAGAAAAAATTCTAAAAGAAATACAAATTTCCTAGTATTTCTCAAATTTTATCACAGCTTCAGTCTGTTCAAGTCTATATTTGCCTAGGAAATTTTACTAACAATATGCAGTTTTATATCATCTATAAGCCCTGTGAGCAAACCAGTAGTATTTCTATTGAAAGTCTACTTATATCTATAAATTTTACTTTAAATTTTACCAAAGTTATAAAAAAACAAATCTCTCAGGTAGTATTCACATTAGGCAGGAAGAGAAGATATTCTAAAATATAACTTCTTTAAAAAATAAAATTCTACAAACAAAACTGCATTTGTTTATTTTTCAAGACTTTTTACATGTAAAGCAAGTAAATTTAGGTCTACTCTGCAATGATGCTCATACAGGACTGATCTAGAGAACGATGTCACAGACGTTCCTCCTCTTGGTCAGTAAGCACCAAGCTAAAAAGATTTCTTAAAGAAACAAAAACCAAGCTTTACAAATAGCAATAATATGGGGCTGGCCTGGTGGCACAGCAGTTAAGTTCACACGTTCCACTTCGGCGGCCTGAGTTCACCGGTTCATATCCCTGGTGCGGACATGGCACTGCTTGGCAAGCCATGCTGTGGTAGGCGTCCCACATATAAAGTAGAGGAAGATGGGCACAGATGTTAGCTCAGGGCCAGTCTTCCTCAGCAAAAATGAGGAGGGTTGGCAGCAGATGTTAGCTCAGGGCTAATCTCCCTAAAAAAATAAAAATAAAAATAGCAATAATAACATCAACAGTGGGAGGAGGAGGAGAAAATGAGGAGCAATATTCCATCCAAGAATCAAGATCATAAATAGCAAGACACGTGCTGGACTCAGGTCGAGAGACCCGAGTTCTGGTCTTGGATCTGACATTAACCAGATAAATGACCATTAGTAGATCATCTAGTCTTTAGTGGTGTTGGAATTTCTTATAATAATAATATTAACACCACCACCACCACCACCACTATTAAAGAGAAGTTTGAAGTAGATGCTGTTTCGACTCCTTCCTTCTCTGAAAGTCGATGACTTCCAGGACTAGTCACAGAAACTCATGTTAGAGGTGAGGAAACAGGTCTATCTGCCCTGGGAAGTTTGCTCATTGTAATCTCATTGAGCATACATATGCATGATAGTATTCCTATTGGGAATCTAAAAAACATGTGTGTGTGTGTATTTAGATAAATATTTTTTCTTTGATATATTCTGTTTATCAGAGGGAGAGGCAAGAAGGCAGCTCATGGCCACAGTTCAGTTTTGGGAAAATTTCATAGGCTAACGCTCATCATTTCCCAGTTTACTGTAAGGGGAACTGTCATCACGCTTCACAATTACAAATCTATTTTCCCAGATACCTCAAATGGCTCTGGTGTCTTCCAACACTACCTGGACCAAAAGTAGGATCCACGTAGAGAATGGGAGAAAAGGGATTTCCCTTCCCTGATTCTTAATATAGTGAGAACAGAGATAAGAAGTTTCATTCATCGATTCACACACTATGAAATTACACGTGGACAATTTTCTATTAGATGTTGACATTTCTAATGGTGTTATCTGTATATGTGACTATTGCTCAAAAGTCCAATGCACGGCAAAGAGTCCTTTCGACATTGCATACTTGTTAGAGTCTGTCACTGTGCTTTAATCTAACTCTTAGCCTCCTAAACTTCAAGCCTTGACCAAGGAGATGATTTTCCATCTGATTACCTGGTGATGTGCCGTCTGTTTACCTAGCTGTCTTTCTGTCTTCTGTACCTAGCATTACACAGCTACACTTGTTAGCTGTATTTAATGGTGTCCTTAAAACAGAGTTAGTTTAACCTAGCCCAGATTATTGTTGGTCAGTTAACACTCCATTTCCAGCAAGACCTAAGTGGGGGGAAAAAAGTAGATGCAAAAAACCATAACTGAAATATTAACATTTAAATAAGAAAGACTGTAAAGATTACCAGGCAGATAATAGAAATGAATGAAACAGGCTAGAGTTAATATGAGGGCCGCAATTGGGAATGGTGAAGGACAGAGCAAACTGGAGGGTATATGTTCCATCTGAAGGATACGTGTTCCATTTTAAGGGTATATGTTCCATCTGAAGGGTATATGTTCCACCAGAAGGGTATATGTTCCATCTGAAGGGTATATGTTCCATCTGAAGGGTGT